TAGACCATATTTTCTGTGTGAACTGTAATATAAAATTATTAATATGAGGTTTATAATAGCCACATTAGACTCCATTAATAAATAGGTTTAATTATGTTCTTAATTATACAAAAGATTCTCCATTATTATTTAAATAAAAAGTTGTACATTATTTTTCATTTCATTTAACCAGTTGAAATTTCCCTAAAGAACAGGTCAAACTTTCGGGTACTTACCTGGAAATACTCATAAAATTTTTAATCCGAAACCCGCGTAAGTATAGCGAACACACTGTACGTATCTAACAACTTAAAGGAAAATCCTATCGGTTTTTCGTAACCAGATGTTTTTTATAAAACAAGTATTTTAGTTAGTTTAAAAGAAACCGTGGTTTCTTGATAATTTATAGTCTGAATAAAATCTGTACAATTTAAAAGTTGTTGGACTGTTTATAAGTGCGTACAGGTGATTTATAAATTACTTTCAGTTTTTAAAGGTCTACTTATATTAATATAATTTTTGTATTATCTGGGTTGGGCTTAATTTTGTCTCGTTTTCGTCTTCTATTTTTTAAATGAAACGTTCCTACACCTATGATTATCGTAATAGTAAACTTAAGGCATTTCTTTATAAGCTTACCATCATAACTTATTAGATCCTATAGTGACCAGAACATTTATTTATACAGTTTGGTTTCTTCTATGACGTCATATGTTATCAAAGCATATAACTACTTCTAACTACGTCGGTTATGTGGTAAGGTACACATTTAAACATATGGATTAGGATTTTTTTGAACATGTTTGTATTTACTATGAAAGAAATTAAATTTTAAATACAGGATACTAAAATAATTAGAGATATTAAAATATAAAGAAAGAAATATATTTCAACACAAATATAACACAAAATAAAACATTTCTTCTTTTGTTGGAGGAGATATCATTTTAAATAAATAACAAAATTAAAAGATCCTAAAATTTCTTATAATTCTAATTTGGTTTAGAAATCCCCAACTTAAATTAAATTTGACGTATATGACGTTACACATTTAACGTTACCACACTTAGAACATATATAGTCAGGAAGGAGTAACCCATGTCCGCGTTTTTTTTATTTAATTTGTTGGCCTACATAGCTAGGATGATACAGCCATTTGTTAACAATAGATAAATAATTACAATATTTTACAGCTTATTTTTAGACATTTTTCCGCGTTAATCTAATCGATCTGACGGAAGTGGTAGCCATGTTGTACTATGGATGACTCATCATCATATGATAAATGGTTTCTAAAACTGGTTTCTAATTTTAGTGATTAAAATTTGTTAATAATTTGGATGTTTTATGTGTTAATTTAAACTTTTATCAAGCGTATCTTTTGTAGACATTTCTAAAAAGTGTTTAGTGTTTTAGTATTTATTTAGTATTACTGTTAATTTTAAATTTTCCGCGTTAAAAGACAAACAAGATAATATAGTCAGTTGTTCGTCTTGTGGATATAGCAGCACAGTTAAAAGTAGAAAGGAATAATCTACATTTCATAAGCAAGTATTTTGTTCTCTCAATTTTCAACCACACTAAAGATGGTAAGTGCGTCTGCGATCAACTGTGCTCACAGGCGTAGTCTCATGGTTTATAGGGTATACATACTTTTATTTAAACAATTCATTTATGCAATTTTAAGATATTTATGTGGTTATTAAAATGAATAAATTATTGTTTAATTTAGATTTATAAATTGATTGCAAGTAAATAATTTTCAGATTTCTTAAATATTCTAGATTTACAAATTATATAAATTAATCCCAGGTAGACAATTTTCAGATTTCCTAAAGATTCTCAAAAAACAAAGTTATGGCTTGAGTTCATGCAACAAACAAATTTTGAGCCAAAATATCTTAATTTTTTGTGTTTACGCCATTTTAAAGCAGATTGTTTTGATCGAACCTGAAAACCAAGAATATGACTTCTACCAACAGCTGTTCCAACAATAAAAGTGGTCCGATTGAGGTATATAAATAAATAAATTCTTTACTAACTATATCATGTACTGTTTTTTTCGTATAATAGAAGTTTATTGTATGAATGTGATGCACCCTATATAATTTATTATAAAGTTATTTACAAAAACGAACACAAATAGAATTAATAATATCTCAAGTAAGGAAATAAGTAGCATATTGCATGCCTCAAGATACTGTCTTAGGTCCTATCTTGTTTAATTTTATTTTAAATAATTTGTCGTTTAAATATAGATGAAAATATTGTTAAGTTTTTCAGACAATACAGTTATTCTGTAAAATGCAGAGAATTGGAATTGATTAAAATTATTAATAGAAACAGATCTTATAAAATTTTTCGAATGGTTTATAAAAACTTACAAAACTTTGATAAAACGTATGTTGTTCCATTATACAGTTACAAAAAGATGGCCTCTTCCTATAAAAACAATAAAAGGTAACGTTCAGTAGTTTCATATAAGGATTACAAATGATATCAAATACCTGAGAGTACAAATTGACTCATCATAACTGGACTAAGCATACAAATAATACGTTGAATGCACATTTAAAAATAATCTATTTTGCACTCATAGAATCATTATTACGTTATAGGATCTTTTCTTGGAAAGGTGCTTTACTTGCTTATGCAAAATTGTCCTGCAAAAAATATTACTAATAGTATTAGGTAATAAAATGATCAGAAAATCTCTTCGATATTAGGAAGTTTTATATGTACTCCAACAAAAACATCTAAGAAAGAAATATCACAGCGGTGTTTGACCTAAATATAAGTATAGGATATTTAATTTTTTTTAACGCATATCTACAAAACATATTTATTTTTCAAACCTTAATAATTTGTAAAATGTAGATTAATAAAGACATTGTCATAATAAAGACGTAAAAAAGTCAAAAAAAATTTTTAATACATTATTGCTTTGATTTTTTAAATGAAATCCCTCTATAAATTATCCCAAAAATATTTTCCTATATTTATCTTACCAAAAATGCAATTTTAAAGTAAAATTTATTCACGTAATGAAGGTTAATAAAAAAATGCAAACTTCTCGCAAGAAAATAGCAATTCGTTAAACTGAGAGAAATCGGTAAATTTAGATAATATGCATATGAGAATTTATTATTTTCCTTTCTATGCCCCTTTATGACAGTACGTCACTGGTAGACCGGAAACACTTATCCCCATATTCGTTTACTGTCAAAATTAGATACCATCGCGATTCCAAGGTCGTTTATCATTCCTCCTTCCTGACTATATATTATATATTCTAAGTTACCACATTATGTGTGATGTCAACAGAGTAACTAAAATACTGTTACTAAGTATGTTTTAGTAAACTTATAAAGTAATTCCTTTCTATTTGGTTTGAAATTCAGAGAAATATTATGAGTATTAAAATGTGCATCATCCTCGTGCAAATTGGCCAAAATTTATTTAGGGCTAAAAGTTCAAGAAAGTATCGTATTATATCATGAAAATTGAAATAAACTTTTTAAATTTTGTTCCAAAGTTGATCTTTAGTCACAGTATAACCACTATTACAGAAGCGAAGAAAGCTAATTTTTGGGGTCCAAAATTTTTTGCGCATGATCAGGGCCGCCATTTTATAACCGGCAAAACTGTTATGTCACATGCGAGTGTTGTTTTGATGTGTCAGGATCAGTCATTTGTAATTTATGATTTTTTTATCGAATTTAGTGTATTTTAGTGTTTTCCTTTGTATATTTTTTAACAATTATTGAGTAAATCTGTATTTAGTGTTTTCCTTTGTCTACTTTATGAACATTGTTTAGTAAACATGTTTTTACTCGAAGACTTTTTGTGGTATGTGCTGAGCTATTTACATATTTTTATTTATTTTATTAAAGCAAAATAATTTTTTAGTGATGGAATCTAAAAGAAAGAGATATGTTTATCGCCCATGTCTACCTCGAACGGATTCAAATACTAGTTATTTTTCATTTCCCAAAGTTTTAGAAAGGTATGCAAAATAAATTATGCAATTTAAATGAGGAAAACTGATAGCTCTGCCTAACAAATAGTTTAAATTTTTATCCAGATATCCAAATTTACCAACGTTATGTGCTACCTTTGAAAAGTACCTCCTGGAACGGAGTAGAACTAATAGATTTTTTAATCATGTGATAATCGAGCTTATGTGGAATAAAAGAACAGCTATAGATTTGTTTGTGTTTCCGGTTTCCATTAGAATAAACTAAAACCTTTCTTTTAATTCAAATTTGATTTCTCTTCTCCTGGTTTTTGTTGCAAGTTGCAAAATAAACTTCATTTTTAGCTGTGGTATTTTTCGATTTTTGCCATCACTAGAAAATAAAACATGTTCTCATTTTACTTCAAAATAAATTATTATGAAGCCTTATTTTTCTAATTATATCACTAACCTTTAATTCAGACAAGAAATAGTGGATGTTGCTAAATAAGTTTGTTACATATATGTAAATCCTTTTCTCAGTGTATTATCCGAATTTATAAGAATCTTGGTAATTTTTACCAGTATAACAACCGGCAAGAACGTCAACTGTCACCGAGTGTCACTTTAAATTTTGGCCACCCCGACATCAAACGTACCGACGCAAGCCTTCACTTCTGTAATAAATATTATTCTGTGCTTTAGTTTATTTGACATTTAAAAAAATTGATTGAAATCATTTCATAACTTCAAATTTTACAGGGGCGTTTCAAATCTAAATGGGTCACACTGTATTTATATCATATAATGATCCCTGAATATATGTTTAATCATATCACCATCCAAATACAAACACGATAAATATAAATTGCAAGTAATATGGTCCTAAGGTGTCAATAGCCGTGACGGATTCGGATACCCTAATCCCTGTTTTTATTTTGCGAAATGCGAATATAGACAAAAAGCCATTTAACTGTCGAAGTACAAAGGTGTAGCCAAGCTAATATTGAATTAGCTGGGCTATTTAATACACAATGGACAAAAATATGATTATAGAAGTACTTACCCATTCCTTTCTGTCCTTCTGCATCAAATCTACCATAGATTTTCCAAGTTCGACTCTGACAGTATTTTTCATTACGTCTTCTACGCTTAACAGCCAGCTTTCTACATTTCCTACTGGATACAAGGTTGGAGTCATGTCCACACATTCATCTTCTGCAGAAAACATTTGTGTAATCAACAGATCTTCTTCAATTGTTAACTAAAAGTATATGGTAGTCAAACATTATGCAAGATTAAAAAACAGTATTTATTTAGGGTGTATCATTTTTAAGCAACTTTTTTTTTCAACTAAAAATAGGCTAAAAACTTTCAGGAAGGTGAAAAAGAAGCCTCTAAAAATTTGAGCTCTCAATATTATCATTTAGTGGTGCCTGTTCTTAACTTTCCATTTTCCATCTAAATAAGATGGAAATTTTTTTTTTCTTTTTTCTTATTTTTGTAGCTTGACATTTGAGCATTGTAAAAATAAAGTGACAAATTATTTTGGTAGGAAATTGAACGCTCTACAAAAAGTTCTAATTTATTTTTTTCATAAAGTGAGCCGTTCTGAAGATATTCAAACTTAAAGTTGCAAATGTATGAAATTAGGACTTTTATTTTATTAAATTGATGACTTTTTTATGTCTTAAAAATTATTTTCAAGAAAACATCATTATTTTCATACAGAAAGAAAATAACGACGCACAGAAGCCAAAAATTCACCAGAAATATTTTTAAATAAAAATATGAGTTACTTTGTTTCAAAACAATCATTGAAACTTTTTGACAAATTTGATTTGCCGTACGAGTTTCTGGATGCAGATGTCCTAATTTAGCCAGATAATGAAAGTTATCAAGAGAATTTGGAGTTTTTCGAAAAATTGAAAGTTGTCAATGACATTGCAGGACATGGCGTCGCATTAGTAGAAGAATATAATAGATGCCTAACTAATAAGGAACAATTTTAATATTTATTACAAGTGGTAAAGGAGCACCGACGAAAATATCCAAATTATAATAAAAAAACTTCAACAAATATAGTTACATCATTTAATTCTGATAAGACATTAAAATATCTATTAGTTTCAAAATTTTAGTATGCAAATTGTTAAAAAGTTTTTTTTAATCTATAAAATAATAATTTTAGTGAACATAATTCATAATTATATTTGTTTAACAGTTAATCAAATAATCAAATAATATCTAAGATGTAATTTTTTTTATTTTAGCTTTCTAAAAATATTAGCGCACAAAAACCAGTTTTCTCATTAAAAATAATTTTTAAGACATAAAAAAGTCAACAGTATTAGTTTAATAAAATAAAAGTCCTAATTTCATACAATTGCAACTTTAAGTTCAAAACGGCTCACTCTATGAAAAAAATAAATTAGAACTTTTTGTAGAGCGTTCAATTTACTACCAAAATAATTTTTCACTTTATTTTTACAATGCTCAAATATCAAGCTACAAAAATAAGAAAAAAGAAAAAAAAATTCCATGTTATTTAGATGGAAAATGGAAAGTTAGGAACAGGCACTACTAAATGATAATATTAAGAGCTCAAATTTTTAGAGGCTTCTTTTTTCATCTTCCTGAAAGTTTTAAGCCTGTTTTTTAGTTGAAAAAAAAAAGTTGTTCAAAAATGACACACCCTATTATACAATATTAATTATACCTACACGAGTGACTAGCCAAATTTTACCAAATGGAAAAGATAAAAAAAAGACAAAATAATACTCAAAATCTGTACCGAATACATTTTAAATATAAATTATTATATGGCTGTTAGTTCGACCCAAAGGTCTTCATCAGGCCTTAGTAAAGAAACAATGAAATTTGGGGGGTATACAAAGACGAATGTAAAAATTCATTGAAACTTAAAAAGTGTGGGTCACCAATATTGTGTAACCCCCAATGCAACAATGTATTTGTTTTTATGATATTCTTTGTTTCATTTTATTATTAAAATATGTGGTACATACAGGGTAGCTGTTAAAGATGGAACCAAACCTACAGTGCTTAAACGGTTCAACATACAAAACCCAAAATTTCAGAATTTCAACTAAATACATTTGCGCATATTTTAGCCCAAAAATTATTTTTTTTATAACTACAAAATTTTAAGCATGGCCGCCATCTTGATTTTTTTAAATAGCAACATAGGTCATGTGATATATCATTTGAAAGGGTTTAACACCCTGATTACAAAAATGTATCACACATGGGGTCTAAACAGAAATTGGCTACCTCTTCGTGCGTGCGTTTTCTTTCTCCATACTCAACCATTTCATTTCAATTCTTTCATTTTTGGTCAATTGATTCATTATTACTAATTACTTTGAAATGATTCAATTTAACAAATTATTTTACTATTCGACACCTGTCTCTTGCAATTTAATCAACAATAACTGTTATTGTTATATTTGACGTCTTGTGTCAAATGCACAGACTCGTACGCTCCCTATTAATAATATCATTTCTGTTGTGTTTACACCGCATGTGTGATACATTTTTGTAATCAGGGTGTTAAACCCTTTCAAATGGTATATCACATGACCTATGTTGCTATTTAAAAAAATCAAGATGGCGGCCATGCTTAAAATAATTTTTGGGCTAAAATATGCGCAAATATATTTAGTTAAAATTCTAAAATTTTGGGTGTTGAACCGTTTAAACACTATAGGTTTGGTTCCATCTTTAACAGCTACCCTGTATATATTTTGGGTATTATTTTGTCTTTTATGAAGATGACCACATATAAACAGTTGAATACCCTCTACGATTCAAACTGTTAAAGGACCCTGAAGTGGTTTTATTTCTACCCTTATTGGGTTCCCAAATACCTTACTATATACAGGGTATTTTCATTAATTTTCCACATTGTTTCAATTGTTCGTCTGTAATCTATATTAGATTATGTACCCTCAAGAATAAAATTCTATATAGTGTGGTCAAAATATTGTTTTATTGCATATAAAACTGCCCCTTGTATATGAATATGACTAATTTTCGATATTGATTTAAAATCTACAATTAATAATATAAACAAATAAAGTATTCACTGTTTCTGGAACAATTTTAGTTCCATAATTATAAGATGCAAGAAAAATAGGAATGAGTTGCACCTACTTAAAATTCTGTTAAATTATTGTAACGTTTATTTATTTAAAACAGTTTATTATTTAATTTATTTACAACTATATTCACTAATTCATTTATAACTTAACAGTACTTTTTATCAAATATTTAATTTATATTAACAATTTATACATAACAAAATCTATCTATCAATTAACACAAATAGCAAAAATTTGGCACCACGCTATTCTAGAAAAACTCTAGGCACTCCCGAATGAAGAGATTTAGCAATGTTCCCTTCGCACTCTTCGCAGACCGAGTGTAAAGACCATCGTCCGGTATAGGCGGAACAAAAAGGGGGTTTGGAGGTGACGCTTTATTAAATATTCTTACTTACCGGAAAATGATAAGGCCATAAAAATACTTAAATAAGACAGAGAGGGGCCTAATGGATTAGAGCATGACCGGACTGGTCGAAAATGGCTCAAAAAACACAAATAAAATAGGCAATGAAAAACTTTATATTCAAGCAAATTTTCTATTTATTTTTTTTTTTTTTGGCAAAGCCCTTTATCAGTGCATATTTACAATAATATTGTGACTATAAGTAAATGGGATTTATGTAGGCAGAACCGATTGATCTAGAATACTTGAAATTTCAAAATGAGGAATTCCCAAAGCTAGGCTGCTACTCCAATCATAATTATCAACAAAAAGTTTAGTCAAAGCGTACAAAAATAAGTACAAAAGTTTAAAATATTAATAAAATACACAAAAGGTAAAAATAAGGTTTTTTTAGATATATACTGCCAAATAAACACAATTAATTACAAATAATCAATCAATTTCAGATCAAATCAGAGGAACTATTGCAAAAATATGAACAATTGAAATTTTTGAAAATTAACGAAAATATATTTGGGAACCCAATAATAGAATAAATGAAACCACAACTGGTAAAGTTTAGCTAGTCATTTGCAAAACACTAGAATATAATTATTTACTCTTGCAACATTTTCAAAACACTTCTTGAGATGCGGTTGTACTGCCAGAGGATTTCTGGCTTGTGATAGAATTTCTATAAGTTCGTCGTCACTAAGAAAGTAAAACCGTGGGAATACCATACGTTTAACTTCCAAATATTCTGCCAAACCTTTTTGGACGATTTGTAGAATGTGATTAGCATCTTTTAAACTTTCCCATAGTTTTCTATCTCCGCAGTATTGTATAATCTAAAAAAATCATTATGAAATTTGATATTGTAACGTGTATTTAGTTAAACAGTCTGTTATTTAATTTATTTTCATTAATACACCAACCTATTTTATAACCTAATTTATTTGTACTTAATACAACACTAATTTATATAAAAGAAAGTGAATTGAGAAAGTCGATTTAGATCTGAAAAACTGAATGCAAATTTGGAAATTCTGAAAATGAAAAATCCCTTATTCCCCCTACTAACTTATGAAAATTACACCAGCATATTCCCAAATTGAAAACGAACCGAAGAAAAATTGAAAAATCTGAGAATTAAAAAAAGAAAAAATGCATGGCGGGAGTCGAACCTGGAACCTCACACATAGGTGTTGATATACGAATTCGTAAAGGTGAAGTAATCAGATTCAGACTACCATCATTACACACAGCTCTCTTAACTTTGTCTTAAAAGCCACCCTTTTGACATCGTATAGAAAGACTAATTTTATAATTTCATTAGAACTAAATATCTAATATCCTTCATTTGTTCAACAGCGTTAAGTTTTCAAGTACAGTGCCGCCGTAAGACGTAAAGTGAAAGAAAGTGAACTGAGAAAGTCGGTTAAATCCGAAAAATTTAATGCAAATTTGGAAAATCTAAAAATTAAAAAAACCTAATTCCCCATACGAAATTATGAAAATTACACCCTCATATTCCCAAAGTGAAAACGTACCAAACCAAACTACGAAATATGTTTCGCATTTTCATTCATTTGCTATGATGTATACAGGATGCGTCAAAACGCGAAGTTACGATATTCTCAATTTTTTCAAATGTTATACCAACAATTAACGAAATAATTTCTTTATTTAATATTTTGTTTGGCATTTCCTTTACCAAAACGCACTTTTCTCAAGATTTTGATGGGTTTATCATGAACACTTTTTTACGTTTTTCTAATTGGCTTTTTAAAATCTGGATTTATTTATAGTAAAATTCAAATATAATTATTGTTGGCATACTTTTCAGAAATATTAGATGGGTTTTTTATTCCTCCGAACTCACAAGTAATGTAAACCATTGTAATTTAAAAAAAAGTTTTGATATTGGGAATGCCACATAAAGTAAAGAAATTAATTAATTGATAATATATAACATACAAGGTAGTTGAAAAAAAACTGAGAATATCGTAACCTTGCGTTTTGACACACCCTTTATACATCACAACAAATCACTGAAAATTCAAATCATTTTTAGAAACGTTAAGTCTATTAAAAATTTTTGATGATGTGTTTGGTTTAAAAAACTATAAGTTTGGTTTTCCCAACGACGAACAACTATAGACTAATTTTGTTTACAAAAATCGAATTGCAAACATTCACGTTGTCATACACGTAGTTGTTAAATTATTATGAGAGAGCATGGGAGAGCCTTGCTACAAGGATTGTTTATGGTTATAATTCAGTATTGACTAAACGTAAAGCTCTAAAGCGTACAAAAGGCTTCCAAAATTACATTAGGGAAGTATATTTGCATTCTTAATTCTAGTTATTATCAATTTAATGTATTTTGCTCGTTGCAACTATTATAGATGTATTGTGTTTTCAGGAAGGTTCGCAATTAATTCTGAAGTGTGACAGCAGTGTAAAGCAAGCGTAGTAGACATAAATACTAATCCATTCATAAAACGCATGCTCGCTCCTTAGATAAACATACTCGCTCAACAAAACATCCCCATCCAAATTAGAAGCGGTCTCCTTTTTAATGCGACGTGTCTGTATGCGTTATATAATAATAAACACAATCTGAATGATTACTATAAATAAGGGCTAAATTATGAATGGATTAGTCTAGTAGTTTTTCGTCATTGGCCTAATTTATGGACTACTATGTATATTTGAAAATAATTTTTAAATAAATTCGCTAACAGTAGGTATGACTTTATTATTCAAAATCTCTTCGTACCTTTATCCAAAAATAAAATAGCTATCGATCAATTACGCAATGTTGGAATACACTACATAAATAATAGGCAAACATGTTTGTATCGTTGGATAGGTAAATTCATAACGATTTTAATGCTTAAATAATATACGAGGTGTTGCACTGAAAAAAAAAATAGTAAATTGAACTCAAATTGAGAGATTAAAGTTGAAGGTGGTAGCCATGTGTGAGGTATAAGTTCAAAAAGGTAAATCAAACGAGGGTGGTCCTTAGGATCTCACAAGAGTATTTTATTACGACCGGTTTCGAGGATCAAATCCTCATCATCAGGTAAGGTCTAAAAATAGAGAAGAAAAACGAATGAGCTCATAACTAATAAGTGGGTTTAAACATTTTAATATGAAAGTTTTTGTCAAATATCAAGAATTCACCCGTAATTACTCATCTATTTAAGACTAAGCTAAGAGAATTATCCCAGGGTCGGTGTAAAAACAAGTATGCGAGTATTTTTTAAAATACATAAAAAATATAAAAAAACAATAGTTGCAACAAAAAGTTGATGTCAAAACACATAAACAAAAGTAGGTCTAAAACTATTAATTAAAATTATTAAAATATTTCACGAACGGACGAACAATTAAGACAAACAAATTTAAAAACTTTTTAAAAACCCTACAAGCACTAAAATGGGTTCTTGGACAAGTGTTTATAATTCTACAGGAATTAAATTATATTTAGATTAAATAACTGATTAACGCCCTCAAGATATAAATAGACGAATTAACCATTCTAATATTTAAGATAACAGTTTAGAGGTTGTCAAATTTAAATATTTTGACCATCGGCTAATAAGATGGCGTTGGCGAAAAAATAAATGTTTCTTAATAATAATAGGTTTATAAAATGAATTGTTTGAATTTGTACGTAATAAACAAAATGAAATAAATAAATTATTATTGTTAAAAGTAAAGTCTAGCATTAGCGTTGGAAAATAATTTTAGATGTACTAATATTCAAATTAAGAAGTTGGTAACAATCAACGGAAAAGGAAATGGTGTTAAAATGAAAAGAGAGAAAAAACTATTGATTTGGTTAATTATTTTTTTGAAGTAATGTGCTGAAAAATGAAAATGGAAAAAGAGACAGAATAAAAATAAAGGAATGAGATAAGTATAACTAATAATTTCATAGGGAAATTTTAAAGTAAAAGGGGGGGGTAATAATTAACCAAATCAATAGTTTTTTCTCTCTTTTAATTTTAACACCATTTCCTTTTCCGTTGATTGTTACCAACTTCTTAATTTGAATATTAGTACATCTAAAATTATTTTCCAACGCTAATGCTAGACTCTACTTTTAACAATAATAATTTATTTATTTCATTTTGTTTATTACGTACAAATTCATTTTATTATTACCCAACTAACAAAGTAGCTTTATAATTTTTAGTTTACAAGACTATTATATTTTATTGATATTATATTGCTGTTTCTGGAATGCTAATTTATTGTACTACAGTTGCAGAAATCACTATTTTGTTCTCTGAAACTAAATAGTTATATAAATTAGTTTTTACAATATTCTTACAGCAAAATTATAAAATAGTTTTCACGATAACTATGAAATTGTTACATAAACATTTACACAACTGTTCTATACAATATTTCAGCTTATAAAATAAAATTGCTTTATAGTTATTCTATATTATTGTTCTGGATTACCTTTAGAACTTTTTGGTCATACAAATATAACTGTTTCTTAACCTCATAATAACGCTTTAAAAAATAGTTATATAAATATTAGTGTGAGATAATTCCGCATCAATAGCAATTTGCTTCTGATGAAAACTCTAAAATAACTGTAATATATTGTCGAAATACACTATTACAAATCAGAAAACTGTATAGCAATTATTTTAGTTAAGAATAGTATTATCCCTTTAAAAATATTTATGAAAAAATAAAGCAACTACATTTGGTAGTACCTACGCCATATTATTTTTGTATTTTATGTTTGTTCAACTACTTCCCATACCAATTGTATGTTAGTGTATGGTCTGAAAATGTCAGATTTAAATAGTGAAGAAATATAAAAAATAAGTGGTACCTGCTTTTCAGAGAACAGTAAAAAATATTAGTAAAACATTTTGATGGTTTGTCTAGACACTCAAAAAAAAAAATATCATTTAGCCAGATAATAATTAGGTATGTTCTGAATAATCATGCCCCAATACTAAAAGAAAGCTATATTTTTGGCGATGTCCATGTTAAATTTGCTTATTCTCGTAATATTAAAAATTATGCTTGCTCTATAAAGCTGTAGAAACAAATCTAATCATTTCAATTCCCAAATACTTAAATCAGAAACGATTTAGTAAGGTTATGTTATATTTTGTCATAAAGTGCAGCAATATGAAACTATTATACAACAAACCATGATGAACTTGTTTTGTAGAAATGAGTAATACAACTTAATTATTGTATTACAGCTTTTTTTACTACAATAATATTTTATAATTATGATTCAGTCTTAAAATAACTTTCTAATACCTCTGAATAGCCGCCATATTTAACACAAACCTAAGACAGTTTTAAAGCTAAATCTACTGTCGGTTTTACTAGTATTTAAGACAAAACCAATGTTAATTAAAGATTTTAATCATTAGTAATATTAGCATAATCTTATTACTAAAAAAAAATCAAATTGCATAAATTTAATTTTTGTTTCACACTGAAAAAGTATTAGAAATATGAATCAAACTCGAGGCGCTTAAAAATTTAGTATTGTATGTGCTATATAATTAACAGTAATTCTTGCTGCGCATCCAAAAACGACTTTATTGTAGGTCATACATTATGTCTAAACCGCGTTATAGATATCTCTTAAGTAGATACTGCCATTTTACTAATATCGCCTTGAATTTACTTTTATGACAAATATAGAATTAATTTGTTTTCACCAGATACATTTAAAAAACTAAAATGTTACTGATTTTGATATGCAACCTAACCTCAAAATTGAAAATTTATAAAACAGTTATAAAAGTTTAAAAAAACATTTGTTTAAAGTTTGTGTAAATGTGTAGTA